GCTCAAACGATCTCTTGGGGAAAGTGGATCCAAACCTCCTGTTTGTAACCCCAGCTCAGCTTGAAGCTCTGTTGATCCTTCCAGGGAGAGAAGGTCAGAAAAATCCAGTTTGCAGGATGACTTCCTGCCGAGAGGCAAAGACAAAAAACAATGTTAAAACTCAGGTTGACAAGAACTCAGTTTGACTAAGCAAAACTCAGCTTGGCTAGAGTACCCAAAACTGGCAAACACTCTGGTGTTGAGGTAGTGACAGTCAGCAGCTTAAGAGCGCTCTGTTAACGAGGAAACCATCAGCAGGTGTGTGAGGAGGTGGACCAGAACCAGGCGCCTCCTGGTGGAGGAAGGGAGACAAACACAAAGACAGGAGTCCTGACATGAATTAAAGTATAACTGAAAACTGAAAAAAGAAAAAAAGAAAAAACTTACAGAACCAAAAAAGTAGAGAGTCATGACAATGTGTTCTGGATATAGAAATAAACTGACCTGAAAGATTATTGTTTTTCCTGAGATTCTCTCAAAATGAACCCTTTGAATGTCTGTGTTGTTGGTTCTATGTATTAATATTATGCAGAACATCCCTCTCAACACACCCTCCCCACTGCCAAACATGGTGGTGGCAGCATCATGCTCCAGGGGTGGGCAGGGAAGATAGATGGAGACAAATAGAGGAGGAAAAGCTGCTGAAGCTGAAGTTCCAGCAGGACCTTAAAGTCCGGGTTTCAAAGTTAAACCACACCTATATGAGGTGGGATGCTGTGACAGCCAGCAGGCAGCTCGCGCCCTCATGCTCCTCCTCACTGCTCGATGGGTGTAAAAAGGGACCTGAGCCGGAAACCAAACTTCTCTCTTCTAACTTTTCGTTTTTCTGTGAGGCGAAAGAGGAAAACGACGCGACCTTTGGTGTCAGGTCCGCGGCTCTGTTCCTGATCTGCTGCGGGGAATGTGCAGGCGGCTCTCCGCAGGCTGCACACGCGTTTCCCCCGAGGGGCCAGCGGGCCGCTCCGCCGCCGTCTAACGGACCATGGATGAGGTGAGTAGCTGAGCCCGGCCCGGCCCGGTCCGGTCCATTCCTGGTACCGCTGGCAGACATGTCGAGCTTGAGGGAAGTTAGGCAGAAAGCATGAACTCCTGCAGACGGAGGGGCGTAAAGTTTGGGCCCAGAGACGCGATCGGAACCATCCGACCCGCAGAGATTCCACCTGCAGAACTCCCAGAACCACAGCAGAACCTCAGCCCATTTATACAGTTAAAAGCGGGTCCAGAACCGATGTCCTCCGATTAGACTTCCTAGATTACAGCTAATCTGAGATAAACCGCGCAGAGTTTGATCGGTTTGTTCATAAAGTTCGGGGTTCCGGTACCAGCAGAACCAGTTGTTCGGGTTCCTGGTCCGGTTCGGATGAGCTACTGGAAAACAGCAACAAGCTGAAATTATGAGGAAGCAAAAGGTTCAAAACGGGAAGTTCAGCAGAAAGCAGCGGGTTGATAAACAGCGTGAGGCGAACAGAACCAGAACAGAACCAGAACCTCCAGAATCTGCAGCTGAAAGGAAATGATGCTGCTCTTCCACTGAGCATCTCTGCTCTTCTTATTCCTTTATATGCTCATATTTGGAGGCTTTAATATCCTTTTAAATATTTGAATCAATAAATATTTCATCAGCTCTTTCAGCAGTTTGAGCTCCACCTGGAACAACAAACTGTTTCCCCCTAAATATGCAACAGCCTGTTCTTAAAATGACATTTCATACAGTATATCATTTATTTTTAAAAGTTAACAGGATGCTTAATGATTAAATTGGAGATATAGAAATCAGTGATATATATTTCTATTTAATACGGCAGTCATAATTAAAGCTAACCTCTATCTGGGGCCTCTGGGCCCCACAGGGGGCCTCCACCCCCACTTTGGGAACCCCTGGTCTACATTGTTGACGTTTGCTTAAAAACTTTGATCAGTTGCTTGGAGAAATGGGAAACCTCCCAGATGGCGGTTCTAGAAAGGTCTCCCACAGATCGGCGAGGAGCTCTGGGTTCCTCCTCAGAAAAAGGAACCAGCACCGGTTCTGGTTCAGGTTTTAAGTACCGATTTGATTCCAGTTCTCTGGTATAGGAACCGATTCTTTTCCATCCCATCTGGTCGGATCTCGCTGACACTGAAAACCTTTTTACCTGAGGGTGTAATTTGAACGTTCAGCAGCTGGAGGTTATAGCAGCTGTGGGAGAGATGAGGAACGGAGGGAACGCTGAACTCAGCCTCAGTCACTTTGTTGATGGGGGGGGTGAAGAGCGGAGCAGAATCCATCTGAACCTGCAAGGCATCACTGCCAGCAGAACCAGAACCATTTGAAGAAATTCCAAGAATTGTTGGACCGATGGCATCAAAGCAGAAAAGATGATCCAAGGTTCTGCTGAGGATGTGGGCCTGCTTTGAACCATCGGAACCAAAGGCCTAGTTACAGTAGGAGCCATTCAAAATTTCCCCACTTTCCTGGCTGTTCCCTGGATGGTCCCTGGATGGTCCCTGGCTAGTCCCTGGCTGGTCCTTGGATGGTCCTTGGCTGGTCCCTGGCTAGTCCCTGGCTGGTTCCTGGCTGGTCCCTGGCTTGTCCCTGGCTGGTCCTTGGATGGTCCTTGGATGGTCCTTGGCTGGTCCCTGGCTGGTCCCTGGCTTGTCCCTGGCTGTTCCCTGGATGGTCCCTGGATGGTCCTTGGCTGGTCTGTGGCTAGTCCCTGGCTAGTCCCTGGCTGGTCCCTGGCTGGTCCTTGGCTAGTCCCTGGCTGGTCCCTGGCTGGTCCCTGGCTTGTCCCTAGCTGGTTCCTGGCTGGTCCCTGGCTTGTCCCTGGCTGGTCCTTGGATGGTCCTTGGATGGTCCTTGGCTGGTCCCTGGCTTGTCCCTGACTGGTCCTTGGCTGGTCCTTGGATGGTTCTTGGGTGGTCCCTGGCTGGTTTCTGGCTGGTCCTTGGCTATTCCCTGGCTGGTCCTTGGCTGGTCCCTGGCTTGTCCTTGGCTGGTCCCTGGCTGGTCCTTGGATGGTCCTTGGGTGGTCCCTGGCTGGTCCTTGGATGGTCCTTGGATGGTCCTTGGCTGGTCCCTGGCTTGTCCCTGGCTGGTTCCTGGCTGGTCCCTGGCTGGTCCTTGGATGGTCCTTGGCTGGTCCCTGGCTTGTCCCTGGCTGGTCCTTGGCTGGTCCCAGGCTTGTCCATGGCTGGTCCTTGGCTGGTCCCTGGCTGGTCCCTGGCTGGTCTGTGGCTGGTCCCTGGCTAGTCCCTGGCTGGTCCCTGGCTGATCCTTGGCCAGTCCCTGGCTAGTCCCTGGCTGGTCCCTGGCTGATCCTTGGCTAGTCGCTGGCTAGTCCCTGGCTGGTCCCTGGCTTGTCCCTGGCTGGTCCTTGGATGGTCCTTGGATGGTCCTTGGCTGGTCCCTGGCTTGTCCCTGGCTGGTTCCTGGCTGGTCCCTGGCTGCATCCTTGGATGGTCCTTGGCTGGTCCCTGNATCCTTGGATGGTCCTTGGCTGGTCCCTGGCTTGTCCCTGGCTGGTCCTTGGCTGGTCCCTGGCTGTTCACTGGCTGGTCCCTGGCTGGTCCTTGGCTGGTCCCTGGCTTGTCCTTGGCTGGTCCCTGGCGTGTCCTTGACTGGTCCCTGGCTGGTCCTTGGCAGTTCCCTGGCTGGTCCCTGGCTGGTCCTTGGCTGTTCCCTGGCTGTTCCCTGGCTGGTCCCTGGCTGGTCCTTGGCTGGTCCCTGGATTGTCCTTGGCTGGTCCATGGCTGGTCCTTGGGTGGTCCCTGGCTGTTCCCTGGCTGCCTTGGCGGGTTCCTGGCCTGTTGGTCCTTGGCTGTTCCCTGGCTTGTCCCTGGCTGGTCCTTGGCTGGTCCTTGGCTGGTCTCTGGCTGGTCCGTGGCTGGTCCCTGGCTGGTCCCTGGGTTGTCCGTGGCTGGTCCTTGGCTGGTCCCTGGCTGGTCCTTGGCTGGTCCCTGGCTTGTCCCTGGCTGGTCCGTGGCAGGTCCCTGGCTGGTCCCTGGCTGGTCCTTGGCTAGTCTCTGGCTTGTCCCTGGCTGGTCCGTGGCAGGTCCCTGGCTGGTCCCTGGCTGGTCCTTGGCTGGTCCCTGGCTTGTCCCTGGCTGGTCCCTGGCTGGTCCTTGGCTGGTCCCTGGCTTGTCCCTGGCTGGTCCGTGGCAGGTCCCTGGCTGGTCCCTGGCTGGTCCTTGGCTGGTCTCTGGCTTGTCCTTGGCTGGTCCTTGGCTGATCCCTGGCTGTTCCATGGATGGTCCCTGGATGGTCCCTGGTCCCCTACAATTCCTTTTTAAACATAAATGTTTGTACTAAATTATTGGAGGGTAGAGGGCTGCCATTCGGCTGGCGATGGGCCATTTTGAATAACTGCTGCTTTAAAGGCCGGGACACCTCACACTGAGCCTGAACTGAAACCATCACAGAAAGGAAGTAGTGACAGTTTTTCAGTACCGAGAAGAGGAACACAGGTTGGAGGTGTTTTCTGCTTCCTGTGTCTCACTTTGAAACGGAACATGATGAATCCTCTGCTCTCATGGACCTTTGACCCCAGACCCCCAGCGGGACCCTGGATGAATGCTCCTCTGCCTTCATGTGACCCAGAGTGCAGGCACTGACGTGTCGGCCCTGCTTGCCAACAGAGCAGAAAACAATTAGCCTCTCTGAGGATCAGCCTCCGTGAGACAATGAGAGCGTGTGTGGGACCCTGCTTCCAGTTTCTGGGAATGAAGATTCTGATAAAATGAGGGAATGATGTGAAAGAGGCCAGAGTTAAACGGAAGGAGCAACAGAAGCAGCAACCCCCCGCCCCCCCAAGCTCTCATCAAACTGAGCTTCCAGGAGGGTATTCAGCTCATATGAACAGCATCCAGAGTCGGTCAGTTTGACCCGACCCTTCACCCGCGGATATCTTCAATTCAAATCCGAACCCGACCCGTTGATATTTAACCCGCAACCCGACCCGTTAACACATCAAGTA